TTTGTAGCTAGGATTTGGGGTCTTGTATAGTGTGGAATCTGAATTCTGCAATAAAAATTTATATGTGAATTCAGAGAAGAAAATTTAGGATAAAGAAATATCTATAAATCTGATATAAATCGAGATGAGTTCGGCGGATTGGACTCATATTGATTGTAAATTGAATATACAAGAGGATCTTAAGAAAGAAGTATTTATAGAGCTAATTGTAATGGTAAGTATTCTAATTCGGAAGAAATTGTCGAATTCTTTGAAGATCCCTTGAATTTGTAGTTTGATCCATCTCCGGATATCTCGGACACGTTTGTAAGCGGTTCTCTGGAAATCTTGCGGAGGTGACTGATCAATCAAAAATCTCCTTTGACTCTTTTCGGGCTCCATAACCCTTGGTCAACACTCGCTGCTCAAATGCTTTCACGCTTGTGATCGGGCCTTAGACCCGCTCTTTCGGTCATTAAATATGTTTTATTTATGGACTTTTCATTGGTCGGATTTGGCGATAAATCCAGCTCTAACATACAAACAAAATAAATTATTGACTTTCGAGTTTTTTTTTTCTTTTAATTAATATAGCGTTTAGAGTTAAAATATATATAGTTTTTATATAAAAAATCAAAATTATTTGATATAAAATTTTGTCTAATTTTTTCAACATACACCATCTATTAGTGGCTAGTAGAGAAGTTATCCTTAATAAAAAGTGCAATTGTAAAAGACTTTCGCCCTAGGATTTTCTCCCAGGCGAGACCCAAGGAGCCGCCGCCGTCGAGAAGCCATGACTCTCTGCCGCCAAAGCCTCATCGATCAAGTCTTCTCTTCTCCTTGAAGTAGCGCTGGTTCTCTCGTCTCCGAAGAACCGTCACCGCACCTGTCCGTCGGAGTCTTGTTTGCCGGTGAACTCCTTCTCTAACTTCTCTTGGTTTTCCTCCATGGCTCCTAAACCTGCAACGATGTGTGTACTCGCGTTCTCGTCACCTTATTTTTCGGATCTGACCAAGACATCTCATCACCTACAGGTCTTGAGCCTTTGGCTCACCGACGGAGTTTTATTGTCCCGTCGTCTCTTCACCCTCTGGTATCGCCGTAGCCACCGGACCCACCAGATCCGCCGGACCAGACTCGACATTACACAGTTTCTCTCCAACTGCTGCTGTGTAACCATCGTCACCGAAAAATAACCGCTCTCTCGCCCCCATCTCAGCCTCCGGTTTCATCTCTGGCTCGACCAAGGGCAAGACTCCTACCAACGGAAGATCTTGTCGTCATCTCCATCTCTAATGAGTCCTCCTTTGCCGATCAATTTGTTTGTTTTGGTATGGGAAACCGGACTTCTCAGCCACCGCCGTCAGTCCCTGCGCCACCGCAGGAAAATCCATCTCCGGGGCTGACTCTCTTCCTTCCCTCTTCGGTCGAGACCGCCATTGCAACCTAGGCGTTCATCAAAAGGTGTTGGGCTTGGCCCACTTTATTTTGTATGGCCCAATATTGCAATATTCAAGCCCAAATCTACTTACTGATTTGGAATTCGATAACCGATCAAAGTTTTATGCATTCTCAAATCTTGTATCTGATGAGTCCAATATCTCCTCGTCAAAGAGAAGATCAAAATTTTCTAGATTCTCAAATCCTGCACATTCCTCTTTTTTGGAGAGAACTCGATCACCTTTCCCTCTCCTAGTGAGAGTAAGGTTTTTCTCGAATTCAAATCCGATAAATTCCCTAACCGTCTTGAAGAAACTCGGAGGTAAGGGTAATCTTCCAAAGTCATGATTCAAAGTGACCAAACCAATAGTCTCCGGCTTAGTCGTAAAGACGATCTTGATGCATTTGAGGTCTTTCTCGGATCCGCTGACCATCCTTCGCGATGATTTATCTGTTTTAAGTTCTATTGCATTTACTTTATTTTGTGGAAATTTAAGAAGATATTTAATTTCTTCTTTTTGTATGATGCAAATTTAGGTTAATGAAGAATGGGTTGAAAAAAAAAGAAGAGAGAAGTTATCCTTTCAGACACGTCCTACTGTCTTGTTATAA